ATCTCCTTTACTTTCATTGACATCTACAAACAATGTTATATTGGATCTTATTAAATCGCAAATTGATATGTATTTAGAATATTAAAATTTCTCGGAGACAGAGCCTCAAGCTGTCCCCCTGGGTAGAGTGCTGTGGCATCACAGCTCACAGCAACCTCCAACTCTTGGGCTTAAGCCATTTCCTTGCCTCAGCCTCCCAAGTAGCTGGGACTACAGGTGCCTGCCACAACGCCTGGCTATTTTTTTTTGTTGTTGTAGTTGTCATTATTGTTTAGCAGACCTGGGCAGAGTTTGAACCTGGTAGCCCTGGTGTATGTGTCTGGTGCCCTAACCACTGAGCTACAGGCACCAAGCCTAATTTAACTTTTTAATCTAGTTATGCTGGTGCAGTGTAACAAGCAAAAGATTTAGAGTCAGAAGGCCCAGATTCAATGTCTAGCTTACCACTCACCAGCAAATGACTTAATTGTAGTTTCCTCATTGGGAAAATGGGAATGATAAATGGTTGTCTCTGCAAAAATATTTTGAGAAGCAGATGAGAAAATAAATGGGAACACTATTCATAAAATATTGGCCTAGAGAAAAGCTATTATTGATGAGACTGGCAATTTTGGGATAATTGACGAAGGTTTACAACCAAGATAGGCTTCAGGACTCGTGTCTGAGTCCTGCTTTCCTTGGAATAATATTTAAAAGAGGCCCTCAGGGAGTGCAGTTATACTTATCCCATTTGTCTCGTGTTTTTCCAATGGGAGCAGCATGTCCTGGGATGCCAGAGTTCATTAGGCTGGTGGGGATATAGGAAACAGCGTTTCCGTGACATCCTCACCACCTCATGGCTGCAGATGATGAAAGAATTGAGTGTCAGTGGAAGACCAGAAGTGGAGCTGAAGAGTGTCCTTTCCCCACATTTTGAAGTAGAGGGAGAAAGCGCCACATTTTATGCTTGGCTATTTAAAAAAAATTTTTTTTATAGAGGTGGAGTCTTGCTGTGTTGCCCAACCTGGTTTTCAACTCCTGGATTCCCT